CTGGATATTCCATGAGCGATAAAGAGGATCAACAGGTTCAAGAATGGCTCCTCCAGTGAGGTGCTTTCCCTTACCCACAAATGTACATAAAAGCTGATTGAGACAATTGGAGAAAATTGTAGCCATCGAGTTTATGATTGGTGATGAGGGAAGAGATTTCTGGCTGTTCAACCGTATTTGTTTCGGATTCGGTATCACCTTCTGTGGTAGGACATGAAGTCTTCATCACATATTAGGTGATAGATAGGTTGGTTAACCACTAAGAGGGAAATCAGCGGCAGGGAAGCAGGAAGGTGCTGAGAGTGGAGGATTGCAAGAAAGAGGACAGCAGCAAGGCAGCAGAGAAACACAACTGGTGTTGTTCTTTGCGGCAGGCCCCTGAAAATCAGTCTGTGGGAAGGCAGTGGCAAGGCTATGCAGAGCAGGAATCTGCAGGCTTATGCTGCTGGAATCAACACAGGGTGCCGGTGCTGCTGGTTGCGTTGAAGGCTGCTGGAATCATCAGCAGTATGCCACTGCTGGGTGTTGCTGAGACAAGGAGAAGGGACTGCTGCGGGGACAGGACTACTGCAGGAATGATGCTGGAGTTCAGGTTGGGGTTGTGGCTGAGATAGGAGGGCTGATAGAAGTACGGCAGAGGAGGGTGCTGTGCGTGGACAGCAGGAGGCTGGCGGAGGAGTGCAGAACAGCTAGGATTCTCCCTAGGACTTTGAAGCCATGAAGAAACGTAGAGAAGCTATTTTCTCTTATTCCCCTCAAGCCTAAGTTACAACCTTTCCCCTTATTATATGGGTTGCGGCTAGGGCAAACATAATAAAGACTAGTACAACTTACGAAATATAAAAACAAAAAAAGAAGAAAAGACATACAACATAATGAGAAAAGAATAAAAAGAATAAAGCTCAAATAGAAAAATCTGCCCACCACCGAAGCATCACAATACACCAAAACATTAGCCCTGAGAGCCGCCCCTTAGCCATTTTTATAAAAGCTCACCTCCACGGCCATGGAGGGAGTGTAGAAATTTTCTCAGAGAGAGCCCCCCCCCCCCCCCCCCCCCCCGTGGATCCCATATTATGAGCTATCTGGGCCAACTAATGGGGACGGAATTCTGCATGAACAAAACTTATTGATAGCGCTTCTGTTGAAATTAAGGAGAAGCTTATAATCACACATATGCTTAAAGTTCCAAGTTTTGATAAAGTGTTTGAGGTTTTGTGAGGTATCTAATATTTGTATTTTTGCTAAATCGAAAGGGTCATCTGATCGTCTATTTTTGTGAGAAATTGAATGAAACTAAGCAGAACTATCATATTATGATATATAAGTTTATGTTGTTGTGCAGACACTTTGTTTTTGAAGATATTTTTTGGCATTAAGAATGTGTCTTTTACTTTGATCATCAAAGTTTGAAATTTTGAATTCATAAGAAAAGGTAAGATATGTACATTTAAATCGGGTCGAGTTATTAGAATAGGACATTTTGTCATTAAACATTATGTTGGAGTTGAGTATAAGTATATTAATATTTTGAGTCGGATTGTTCTTTTTCACACAATCAGTTTAAAATGTCTTGTTTTGATCACATTAAAGATGAATATATCAGTTATAAATACTTTAGTGAAATGTTTTCAAACTTGAATAATAATTCATCTATGCCAAATAATGGCTTTATGATTATTGAATAATAATTAAACAGTGTGGCCATTTGACTCTAATCGGGGAATTTCTTTTACATTTATGCTGATCTTCATATGGTATGCCCTTATATTATATATAATACTGTGCTATTCTATCCTAAGTCATCATAGCTTTGTGTACTATATATACTATATTTTGATTTGTTAGTGATCATTATGTTACGCCAGTCCCCTGGATTGGCTTGACCCAGCCAGACCAGCTGGCCTAGCTGGCCCAGCCTAGGGGGGCAGGACCCTTAGTTGCCTCTTGTGAGGATTCCGACCCACGAGCGGGGCTCATTAAGCCCCTTATCATGTATGCGAGGAGTGAAATTAAGGGGTTTTTGGGGGTGTTTTGTGAAGATTAATCACTTAGGGTTTAGCTTTTTGTTTGTATTCGTATAATTTTCTTTCTTGTTTTCTTATTCCTAGTGGCTCTAGGGATTGTGGAGAGTCGATGTACCTCTTGAAATGTAGATCATCCATTGTATCGTGTTTGTTTACTTGGAAATTAATTAAATTAAGCCTAATCTGTTTTTTTTCACATGTTTCTTGTAATTTGTTCGTTGATTTTGGCTCTGATTTGTGTCAAGGCATAGTTATAGGATTCAAACAGTCATCCAAGATATATATTGAGGGGACAATAGCTATTCTACCAAGTACAGTTCGTGTTACTGAGGTCATCAGTGCACATTCCCAAACTGTTACAGGAGTTTTACGACAACACAATTGGGGGACATTTTGAGGTACAAAAGTCATACAGTTGATTGTCGATAGAACTTGTATTATGTGGGGGATATGTAGAGATGTAGAGGACATAGTGGCTAGATGTGATGTGTGCTAACGACACAAGTATTTGATTATGACATCAATAGTGTTACTGCAACTCCCAGTTTTGCCTTAGAAGGTCTAGAAGTAGGTGACAATAGATTTTTTAGAGGGTTGCCACGGTAAGGGGGATTTACTGATATATTGGTTGTAGTGGATCACCTGAGCAAATATGCACACTTCATTCCATTGTGACACTCTTATACTGTTATCTCAGTTTTATTTTATTTATACGGGAAGTGGTTCATTTTCATGGTGTTTCGGAATTTATTGTATTAGATAGGGACAAGATGTTCCTCAATCACTTCTGGAAGGAACTATTCAGGTTATAAGGGATAGTTCTAAAGAGGAGTAAAATATATCATCCCCAGACTGATCGAGCGGAGGTGATTGACAAGAGTGTGAAGACGTACCTGCATTGTTTTGTATCAATTACGCCGAAGCTTTGGACAAGGTGGATTGCTTGGGTTGAGTAGTGGTATGACACTTTATACCATCCTGCAATATAGACCACACCTTTCAAGATTTTGTATGTGTGGGATCCACCTCACCTGATACATTATGTGCATAACACTACTATCTAGTGTAGACCGATAGGAGAGGGGTATGATATTGGCAGAGCTCAAGAGACATCTTTTGAGGGCCCAACAAATCATGAAGAGTAAGGTTGATGGACATAGGATAGAGATATAATTTGATCCCAAGAACATGGTTTATTGGAAGCTGAATCTTACAAGCATAAGACGGTTAGGAGAAGTGAGAAGATTTCTACATGATCCCTATGAGATTGTGGCACACATTAGGGCAGTGACATACCGTCTGAGGTTATCACCACTATCATCATTACATCCAATCTTTCATGTATTACAGTTGAGACGTGCTATCAAAGATCACAAACTCTCGTCTTCATTTCCTCCGACGCTGACAGAGGACCTTGAGGTGGTTTTGGAACCTTTGGAAGTGGAAGAGGTGTATCGAGGAGTGATTGGGGCAAATGAGGTGCTGATTAAGTGAAAAAATTTGTCAGATTATGAAGCAGCTTGGGATCCCCATGAAGTGATTCAGAAGCAGCTTCCTTCTTTTAACCTTGCATTGTGTTTCTTTGGGAGATGAGTATTATTACGTCAGTCCCTCTTAGACTGACGCATTAGCTTTAAGCCCCTAATCATGTATGCAAGGATAGGAATTTAGGAGATGGGGTGGGGGGGGGGGGGGGGGGGGGGGTATGGGAAAGTTTGAATGTCGGGTGCTTCGGTAGAGCTAATCAACTGGGGTTTGCTTTCTTGTTTGATTCCTACAATTTTCTTTTTTGTCTTCCTGTTCTTACCGGTGTTTAGGGATTGTGGAGAGTCGGTCTGCCTCTTGAATCGTAAATCACCCATTGTATCTTGTTTGTTTGCTTGAAGATTTAATCAAATTAGCCCTAATTTGAGTTTTTCCACATGTTTCTTGCATTTTATTTGCTGATTTTGGCTCTGATTCAGATCACATTATTACATATTAAGGCACATTAAATTATATCTTGGTAGTGTTGCAATTGCACCTGCCATGTTTGAAATTAGAAAAATTATGATTTAATGTGCTCTCCGGGGCATAATCGAAGGTGAACTAGAGTCTATCATTTTTAATCAGGAAATGGGATTTTGCTTGAAAAACGGACAATGTTTATTCCTCTGGCCCAATTTAAGGTATCACTTTCAGTTTTAAGATTATGTCCATGACTGATGATGGGTTGTTTGAAAAGAGATGTAGTGGACATACTTTCACGTTGTATAATTTATTATATTGCTTAGGGGAAATGAAATGATAATGGATTTATGCACCTTTGAGTATTCTATATGAACTTCATTGGGAGGATGCTACTGCGGATTTTGTGTTAGGACTATCACCCCCAATAAAATGGCACATTTTCTCCGTGTTATAAATTTTTTGTTGTTTTTAACATTGTTTAGTTGTCTTTCCATGAAGTAGAAAAATTTATATCAATCATCTAAAACCATTAGACATGAATATATAATTCATGAGTTATTTCTGACAAAAACTTAAAAAAATTGCAAATTTCGTTAAATTTTTTATTGCTGTTCATAACAAATTGATGGGCTACTTAATGGGAGTTTGGGTGATATGTTATGTTGTCTTATTAAAATGCATCTTTCTAGTTGGGATTTGACATGGCATTTGAATGAGTTTGTATATAATTCATACAGTAATAACTCTACAAGCCTAAAATATTGTTGAACTTCTTTAAACTTTGTTATCCGCCCTTGACACATTTTACCTATTTGTATGAAGCACATTCATGATTGTTTTAAAAGATGTGGGCTTCAAAGCAAATTCATGAATTTTCAAATAGAATACCATGTACTTGGTGGTTCTAAACACTATATACCTTTGAAATCTTTCAGGTGTTTCAATTCAATAATTATGGGAAAGCCCTTCTTCTATGTGTTACTGGTTCTATATTAACTGGCTTGAAATTATTTCATGCTGCAGGAAAGAAGGTTGAAAAATCAATCAACATTAAGGATAAGAAGGGTTACTGATTACAGGTAAAATTTTATTTTGTTTCTCCAGATTATGAGTAATACCGGTTGCAAGCAGTTTTTTTTTGTTTTTTACCTTCTTCATATTATGAGTTATCCTGTTCGCAGTTAATTTTGGGAAATTTATGTACATACCACCTATTCTTATGTATTTACATATCTAACCCCTAAAGTTTGATATTTACACTAGTGACACTGGTTTTATAAACCTATGCATGAAAAGTTTTTTTTTCACTTTTAAAAAGTTAATAATTAGGATATTTTTTTATGTGATGTTAAAATTTTGGGTGTTATAAATGTAAATATGAAACTTAAGATATTAGATAGGTCAATGCATAAGAATTGCGTGGTATGTAATTAAATGCCCCTTAATTTTTCTATTTTTGCTTTCTAATTTTTGATATGTTTGTTAACAGAGTTACTCTATTAGGATGCCATTGTGTAGGAAAATGGTCAGGATGCATGTTGATGTAAAATTCTTGGTAGAAATATATATTTTTAAAAGTTTTCACAATGAAACAAGAAGATAAATAATGATGAACTGACGGTTTAGTTAGTTTGTTATACAGCATTTACGATAAAATTTGAAATTAAAATCAAAGCATCTTTCTGACAAACCAAATTAAAATAATAAACTGATTGTTTCAGTTTGTTTCTGGTTCGGTTTTCGGTTTAATAACATATATCTTCAGGTACTAATTTGTTATGTTCAAGCTTTAATTTTAAATATTTTTTAAATGTTTTGATCACGTTTAATTTGATTGATTTGCTTTAAATTGATGGATAATTGAAGGGGTTTTTACATACCTAGCACTCAAAACTTACCTATTAACATATTTCACATCTAAACTTCTATATTTACAAAAAAAAAATATTTTTTCTAGCTTCTGTTAATGGATTCCGTCTCCAACATGTCCTCTAGCAATCTCACAGGGGAGGAACTCTCTCTCACTCAACCATCTCCCCCCAACAATATACAAAAGATTGCAATTGAGAAGGGTTGTACCTGGCTCTCTTTTTTTTTTTCCACACGACAGATAACAAAAGGTCCCACCTTTCTCCGCCGGCGGTATTCCCTTTTTTCTGTGCCGGCTTCCTTACCTCAAAACCACCTGACCAACCCCATCTCCCTTCACGCCACAAAGCTTTGGCCTCAACGACAACCTTCCACAGTTCATGCACCCAATCGCCCCTTTCCCTCTCTTTCGCACGCTGCCCTACGCCGCCATGCCCTCCCTACCAAAACCCTTGGGGCTCATGCTTTATTTTATATCTCCATCTCTCTCCTCTGGCCTCCCACTCCATTGACAAAAACAAGAGTAACACCGTGCCAACCTCCCTCTCAATTTTTGTAAATATAGAAGTTTGGATGTGAAATATGCGAATAGTTAAGTTTTGAGTGATGTGACTGTAAAAACCCCCATAATTAAATTATCTTGGAGATTTTTAAATTGTTGTTAACACAATAAATTTACTACTCTAAACATAAGTATTGTACTTAAATAAGTTCGGTTTACTTTATTTAGTTTTATAAATTTCAAAATCAAAATAAAAAAAAGGACTTTTACATACATATCACCCAAAACTTTAATATTTACCTATCTCACACTTAAATTTTCATAATTACAAACATCATATGAAAAGTGACACTTATTATCACATTTTAATAGTCTAATCCATCTTTTCATCCATAGGCAAAGTGTTCTGTGTAAAAATGAAAAGTTTAGATGTGAGATAGGTAAATCCATAAGAATTGGGTGCTAAAATGAAATATTGATTTCAATAAACAGTCAAGCAGCGAGACCATGTGATTTGGATTAATTTTAACCCTGTGCTCTTCTTATTTTTATGAAATTTTAATACTTATTTTGTGAGCAGGAAAATGTTATTGAAAATCATAATAATACCTCATGATATAATTTCCAGTTGTGGGATGATTCTCACTGCTCTCTTCTGCAATGGGGATGGAGCCCGAAATCCCCATTTTGTAGTCTTCTAAACTTGTTCCTCCTCTCTGCTCGATGAGTTTAAGTGGGAATAATGTAAAAGTTTATTGTTTATGCAAAGTGATTATTGTAAATTTTGTATTCCTTACAGAGGAATTTGCTTGAAATCTTGGTCGTCTGTTTGATGTTCTTCTGTTTCTGTAAATGTGAATCATATAAGAGCAAGTTTCCGATAAAGTAAGAATTGACATGGCTGTACTATAATTATTAGGGAGATTTACATATGTACCACTTAATTCTTATGTATTTACATATCTAACGCTTAAACTTTAATTTTTACATATATGTCACCATGCCTACGCATGAAAAATGTGTATTCACTTTTTTAAAGCTAAAATGATGAGATTTTTGATGTGATATACTGGATGGTATTAATATAAGAAGTGAAGTTTGGGTGTTAGATAAGTAAATGCGTCGGAATTTTGTGGTACGCTTGTAAATGCTCGTAATTATTATTATTGGAAACTATATTGTCGTCTAATTCAACACAAAAATTTAATTTAATTCTAATGTTTGTTTTGACGAACATAAAATACTGAGGAAAATTTCAGTGAATTTTAAACATATCCACCAATTTATTTATGGTATATTATGAATTTCATAGATTTGATTGAGCTAACAATTCACTATATAATTTAGAATACATTTTCAAAATAGGTATTATATGATTTTAAATTAGTTAATTTGATAATTAAAAAAAAATTAAAAAAGCCTGGTCGCTCAGGAGGGGGGCGACTGGCTTGCCACGTCATTTGCCAGTAGGAGCCAAAGGTCAGAGCAAATAGCTACTGAATAAATTAAATTATTTTTTTTAAAAGCTGAAAATCATTTATAGTATTTCATTTAATTTGATATTATAAAATTAAACATCAGCTGGGCTTTGGGAGAAAGGGATATCTTATTTAAAATTGATGGAATTTTATAACTATTAAATTTATTTAATGTATATTTAGTTATTTAAAAATATTTTTTTTATTCTAATATAAAACCATTGTAATTTCAGTGGGGCTAGACCTGTTGCGAATATGGAAATCGATCCACAGTTTAAATTGACAATTTCTCGTATTTGACAGCAAATTGGATTTGATATTCTAAATTAATTGCTCTTATTTCTTTCCCTGGATTTTCTACAGCTTTTCTTGCATGAATTTTGTCATCTATGATTTGCTGCATAAGAGAAAATGAAATAATTAATGGGCTCAATTAGTTATTTAATCAATTCTTTAGTGGTCTATTAGTATGATAATATTAATAAATAGACATGCTACAACTCCCCATGTAATCTCTCTCAGGCGTTGATTTTACAGAGAGAGGAGAGGAGAGGGAGAGGAAGAGAGAGATGGGAAGTCTTTCTTATAAACGTCGAGGCGCTTGACGATGTAATTCCCCAGCTAATAAAATTCTACTGCAACTCCTTCGACGTGAGCAAATTTGTCGAATCACGTAAATATGTGTTTCATTGTTTCTTTTCTGCTTTGCAAATTTTTCTCGATCAGATTTTCTGCTTTATTGCCGTCATTTTTCACAATAATTGGTATCAGAGTCTTGGTTCAGATCTAAGGAAAAACGATGGTTAGAGATGAAGTGATGACATTAGTGATCGAGAAGTTTAATGAAACTGATTTTGGTTACTAGATGATGCAAATAAGTGACTACTTATATAGGAAAAAAACTTCACCTATCGTCACTAGGAAAGGAGTCAGAAAATATGGATGAGGCGAAATGGAATATGTTGGATCGACTGATTCTGGGGGTTATACGATTAACCCTGTCAAGATTTGTTGCCCATAACTTTATCAATGAAAGGACCACTGCGGATCTCTTGGCAGCTTTATCATGTATGTATGAAAAGCCATCAGTGAATAACAATGTGCACTTGATGAAAAAGTTATTAACTTAAAGATGACAGAAGATGTGTCTGTCACTCAGCATCAGAATAATTTCAACACCATCACAAATCAATTGTTGTACATGAAAATTGATTTTAACAATGAGTTACGTGTGTTTATATTGTTGGCTTCATTATCAAATAATTGGGAAACCGTGAGGATGATAATTAACAATTATGCGGGTAGATCTAAACTAAAATATGATGATATTCGTGATTTGATTTTCGCTGAAGAGGTGCACGGGAAAGATTCTGGTGATACATCAGATTCAAGTTTGACATTGAATGTTGATTTCAGAGAGAGATTACGGGACATGAACTCAAACCGAGGAAGATTAAAATCAAAGCTTGGTCAGGAGACAACCTGTTAAAATTGTAGCAAAACTGGCCACATAAAAAGGAACTGCAGAAATCTCAAGAGAAGGAGAATAGTAAAACTAATGTTGTGACCGAAGAAGTATAGAATGCGCTTTTGCTGAATTACTTGCAGTTCACAGTTCTATTGAAGACTGGATACTGGATTCAAGGGCTTCTTTCCATAGATCTTCCCACCGAGAATTAATGTGAAACTATGTTGCAGGTAACTTTAGGAAGATATATCTGGCTGATGGAAAAGCTTTAGTCGTGGTGGGGATGAGAGATGTTTATATTGCCCTCCCTAATAAGAGCAAATGTACTTTGGAAAAGGTTATACACATTCATGAGTTGAAGAAAAACCTTATTTATGTTGGACAACTCGATGAGAGAGTTGAAGAAAAACCTCATTTATGTTGGACAACTCGATGAGGGTGGTTATACAATAGTGTTCTTAGATAACTCCTAGAAGGTTACCAAAGGAGAATTAGTACTTGCTCGGGGTAAGAAAACTGACACACTATATATGACTATATTTTTACTCAAAAGTGTTGGTACTACAATTCCAGAGAACACGACAGATTTGCGGCATTGCAGACTTGGTCACATGAGTCAGAGTTATAAAGAAATTTTAAAAGATGAAAATTCGAGCAAGTGGAAGCTGACCATGAAGAAGGAGACGGATTCCCTGCAAAGGAATTAGACTTGGGAGCTAACAAAACTTCTATCAGAGAAGAAGACATTGCACAACAAGTGGGTGTACCTTGTAAAGACTGAGCTTGATGGCAGAGAAGAAGACATTGCACAACAAGTGAGTGTACCTTGTAAAGACTGAGCTTGATGACAGTAAGAGATACACGAATAGACTTGTTAAAAAAAACCTTTAATAGAGGCAGGATATTGCCCGTATAGTGGGAGTTATAAGCAGAAATGAGAGTAACTTAAGAAAGAGCTTGAAGGTACAAGACTATGTTGACATTGATATGCCGACTAAGGGTGTTACTCTTCAGAAACTGAAGTGGTGCGCAACTTCAGTTAGTCTTCTAGCTTGAAGACATGGGCTTTGAGTTGCAGAGGTGGAGGTTATCACGTTTGAAGAGAAGAGCTACGTAGCCAGTATACTAGTCTCCAAGTCAGAGATTTGTTGCGAACATGAAAACCAGTCCATTGTTCAAATTGACAGTTTCTCATGTTTGACAGCAAATTGGATTTGATAATCGAAATTAATTATAAAATTAATTATTCTTAATTTCTTCCCTAGATTTTCTACAGTTTTCCTTGCATGAATCCCGCTATCTATGATTTGCTTCACAAGAGAAAAGAAAATAATTAATGGGCTCAATTAATTATTTGATTAATTCCTTAATGAGTCTAATAACATGATGAAACTAATAAATAAACATGCTACAACTCCCCTTGTAATCTCTCTCGGGCATTGATTTTACAGAGAGATGAGTGGTGGGAAAGACGAAGAGAGAGAGAGAGTTTTTTTTATAAACGTCGAGGTGCTCGACGGTGTAATTTCTCAGCAAATAAAATTCCTCTGCAACTCCGTGAACAAAGACAAATTTGTCGAATCACGTAAATATATGTGTTCCGCTGTTTCTTTTCTGCTTAGCAGGGGCTAGACCCGTGCATTTCTCATCATTAATCCACCTTTATTATTATAACAGTTTGATTATCAGAACATGCTCCTTATTTATTTATTTTAAGTATAACTTTACTTTATTTGTCTAATGAAATTAACACCCTATATTCCTATGTATTTACATATTATATATATATATATATATATCATCTTATGCATGCATTTCATTTTTTTTTATATCAAAGTAGTAATTTTTTTTTTAGGTGACACAAAATATTTTGATGGTATAAAGGTATAAATGTAAAGAAATAAAATTTATATGTTAGATATATACATAAATTTGAATTGGGTGGTATGTTTGTAGATGCCTCCTTTTATTTCATTTTTATTTTTATTCTTTTTCTTTATTTTCTTTTGTTTGTTAATTTTTTGTGGGTTCACACTCATTTCAAATGTTATTGACTTCAATTATTTTTCTTATAAATGTTTAAAATGTTAGAAATTTATAATCTTCCAAATAATATTCTTTAATAAATTTGAAAGCCATAAAGAGAATTCTGCAATTACTTTGATTTATTCCTCAAGACTTATAATGAGCGG